TACCTAAACAACGGGGAAATAGGGTTACAGAGATTAGGGGGGGGGAACAAGATGCTTCTAAGGAACAGTGGTGCAAACTACAGGCCTTGTCCCTTTGTGAAAGTGTTCTGAACAATTCCAGTTTATTACAGCCCTATTCCCTTTATAAAAATGGCCTCTTGAACAATCCCATTTTATGCAATCTGTTAAATGATGGAAGTGTGGCAGCCTTCCTGACCTCCTCAGGCAGCACGTTCCACAAAGTGGAAACCACAGCAGAGAATACTCGGGGATGGGCAGCTGCTGATCTTCATTAAAACAACTTGCAGCAATGGCTTGGATCCTGGGGTAAATCTTCACTAACGGAAGGTGTTTCCATCAGTGGCATATGGGGCTCCCTTGTCTGCTGCTGCAGCTCAGTATTCTCCTTGAAAGGCAGCTACTGGGAGACACGGGGACACCCCCCCCCCCGAACAACATGTGGGGTAGATTGGTGATCTGCAACAGGAGGGGGGGATTAATGAAATTACCCTCCCCTTCCATTAGCGGAAATTTATTGCGGGACCCAAGCCAATAAAGAGAAAACTGTAAATAACTAAAGACAGATCAACTAGCAGCATAAAAAATGTAAAATCCGTTAATGGTACAAACAAGTGTAAAGGTAGCCTAATTGTTTTAAAGCAGTGAGCATTTAAAAGCAGCATAATTCATTTGTAGAAGTTCACAGCATAAAATCAGTAAAGCAGAAGCTGCTCTCCTAAAAACTGCATATAGCTGCTATAAAAGCAATGTAAAGCTTATCATGCTTATCTTAATTGGACGAAGAGCAACCACAGTTCCAGCAAGCCACTGTGCTTTGATCTAGTATTCTCACCATTTGGGTATCTCAGTATTGCAAGTTAATAAATAATTGTGTCTGTGCTACGGTGGATCTCTCACAATAACCATCACCTGAATCTATTGCAGATTATTTCATAATAACAGCACTGAAATATTGCTATATCAATATACCATTGTAATGACAGGTTTAGCATGTTCTCTGAATTCCCAAGTTTCAGGTTTGTTTGTTTTTTAAGTCTCTAGGTCTTTTCTTGGTGAAGATATCAGGGAAAAGGCATATCTCTGTAAGGGAAGGAACTAGAGACTTACTTTTTAAAATGACAGCTGGGAATTCAGAGAACTTGCTAAACCATCTTTACAATGCTGTATCAATGTATTGATATTTTAGTGCTTTTTTAAAAAAAAAATCAAAAACTGAACCATTCATCTTTATAATAATGGGTGACTTTAACTACCCTCATATTGATTGGATAACTGTGTGTTCTAGTGATGCTAAATGTGAAGTAAAATTTCTGGATACCCCCCATAACAGTGCCTTAGAACAGCTGCTCACAAAACCAACCCTGGACGTAATCCTCAGTGGTGCGGCCCAGGACCTAGGCCGAGTTGTGGAGGTGGTTGAACTGATTGGAAACAGTGATCACAATGGCGTCAGATTTAATTTACATGTATGTGGAAAAGTGCCAGGGAACTCCAATATTCTGATATTTTACTTCAAAAGAGGAAACTTCTCTAAAATGAAAAGGCTGAAAAAAGAAGAAGAAGTTGAAAGGAGCATGCAAGATGGTCAGATCTCTTGAAAAGGCTTGGAGGTTACTAAAAACCTCAATACTACAGGCTCAGTTAGAATGTATACCACAGGTCAGGAAAGGTAGTACAGAGTCTAAGAGGTTACCAGCATGGCTAAAAAACTGGGTGAAGGAAGCTATTAGAGTGTAACGGCTTGCTTCAGAAACTAGAAGCCTTACCCAAATGAGGCAAACAAAAGCCAACAGAAACTTTGACAAAGAAGAGGAGGAGGAGGAGGAGGAGGATGGATTTATACCCCGCCCTTCACTACCCAAAGGTGTCTCAGAGCGGCTTACAAACTCCTTTCCCTTTCCCTCCCCACAACAGACACCCTGTGAGGTGGGTGGGGCTGAGAGAACTCTGACACAAACTGCTCTTTTTCAAGGACAGCTGTGCCAGAGCTTGTGACTGACCCAAGGTCACATCAGCAGGTGCAAGCGGAGGAGTGGAGAATCAAACCCGGTTCTCCCAGATTAGAGTCCGCACACTTAACCACTACACCAAAGAAGATGCAAGCAGACAATTAGGGATGCAAAAAAGGATTTTGAGGAACATATCACTAAAAGCATAAAGACCAATCAAAAAGATTTATTTAAATACCTTAGGAGTAGGATAGTAGTATTGGCTACTATCTAACGTAGCAGTGCAAAAATTGTAGATGTTGATGGAACTGTGAAGATATCTGCAAATATGTAATTATGAACAGAAGATGGTATATATTGTCTTTTTAAAGAAAATCAAATAAATCAAATATTTTTTAAAAAGAGTAGGAAACCAGCTAAGGAAGCAGTTTGACCATTGGATGTTAGTGGAATTAAAGAAGTACTAAAGGAGAATAGCCCTGACCCAGCTAGCCCGATCTTGTCAGATTTCGGAAGCTAAGCAGGGTTAGCCCTGGCTAGTCTTAGAGACCTCCAAGGAATACCAGGTTCATGGCATTGAGGCAGGCAATAGCAAACCACCTCTGAAAGTCTCTTGCCTTGAAAACCCTATGCGGTCACCATAAGTCAGCTGTGACTTGATGGTACTTTACACCCCCAAAGGAGGACAAGGAGATTGCTGAGAAGCTAAATGATTTCTTCTCATCTGTCTTCACTGCTGAAGATATAATGCAAATACCTGCTCCTGAATGGATGTTTCTAGGAGGGGACGGTGTGGAGCTCAGGCAAACAGTAGTGGCGAGGGAGGAAGTTCTAGAACTTATAGACAAGTTGCAAACTGACAAATCACCAGGACCTGGTCGTATCCATCCTAGAGTTCTTAAAGAACTCAAATGTGAAATTGTTAATCTTCTAACTAAGATATGCAACACGTCCCTAAGATTGGCCTCTCTACCAGAGGACTAGAGAGTGGCCAATATAACTCCCATTTTAGAAAAAGAGGATCTGGGGGGATCTGGGAAGTTACAGGCCGGTTAGCTTAACATCTGCTCCAGGTAAAGTGATGGAAAGCATTAGTAAAGATAAAATAGTCAAACATATAGAAGGACATGGCTTCTCCAAAGGTGAGTCCTGTCTCACTTAACCTTTGTAAAGTTTATGTCTCCTGTACCTGGTATTACATTTTATGGCACACATGTCCCGGCTGGACAAAGTGGCATTTATGTCAGATCTGGCCCTTGTAACATATGAGTTCAACACCTCTGTTTGTGGAACTTCTGCAAGTTGATTAAGATAAGCTAGGTAAGCTTTATAAGAGGTCTGTTGCATAGTGCTGGACTGTAACGTGTTACAGGGAAGCTTTTGGAGTACAGGGTGAATAAATTTAATGATAGTAAGTAGGGTGATCCAGAAATTGGAAAACATTTCTGCTTTCTAATGGCTGGCTGCCTGTTCCTGACTTTAAAGGGACTTTAAGTTTTCCTGAAATAGGCCTGTTTTGTAAATAGCAATGTGCTAGATGTTTAGAAAACTCTTCTCCTTCACTTCTCCATATATCAGAATCAATCCATACATCAGTGGGCTTTTCTGCATGCTTGACTTGACCTGATTATCTTGACAGTTGATCTACAAGCTTTGGAATAGGTTTGAGCATGGTTCTTCTGCATGTCTGCCCTCCCTCTGCCGTTTCACAATGTGAAGTCAGTTTATTTTTTCATGTGTGTCTAAAGGGAGGGTGCTGTCGTCATCACTAGTATCATCAGCAGTGTCACAGCACCCCCTTTTTATTTTTTGTATATGCTTATATCAACATTATGGCTGCATTTTGTAAAAGGCACTAAAATATTGTTAGGTCTATACCATTGTAATGGTCAGTTTTGCAGGTTCTCTAAATTCACAGCTTTCATTTTTTTAAAGTAAGTCTCTAGGCTCCTCCCTGGTGAAGACATTAGAAAATGAGCTAGAGACATACTTAAAATGAAACCTGGGAATTCAGAGAACCTGCTAAAGCTCTCATTACAATGCTGTATTGATATATCAATATTTTAGTGCTTTTTTTAAAAAAATCGAAAACTAAACCACTCGTTTTCAAGGTGGGGAAGAGGAGAGGGAGTGGTTTGACAGTCTGATCATAGAAAACTGGACTGGAGGTGGATGGGAGTGGGCGGGACAAAGAAAAGCAACAGAAACATTACGCACAAAGAAAAAGTTGACTCAAAATCAGCTTTCAGAAAAAAGATTGGAGTAAAAGTGGCCTTAAAAGAACCAACCCACGGTGGGAGTAAAAACTAAAGGGACAAAAATGTGTGTGGAAATTGGGATAAACCAACAGTATGGAGCCAGGACCAATGGAAAAAAACCATGCAGAAAATCCCAGTGTCTTCTCCTGAACAGTTTAGGTTTCCAGAGAAGTCCTGTGTTGGGGTAGTCCACCATTCCTCATGTAGAACTTAAGGGCAATGTCATAATTTCCTCTTTCTCTCAACAGATACTAAAACTAGCAAACCACCTGCTTTTCGGAAATAATCTCAGTTTAATGAGTACTGTACAACCTTCCATATTAGGTGGACTTTTTCTTTAAAAATGCCTGCCCCTTGTTGCCTCTAAGGTCTTCTTAGCCATTGGTTGGTCTTCTGTCATGTCATGTTCACATACATTCTGTTTTCTGAGGAAAGAAGAGTCAAGTCGTGTAACAGTGAAAATCAGGTGCAGCTCTAGGAGCTTTGTTGGGAGAGGGAGTCTGGAGGGCCTCAAAGAGCTGAGTAGCCATTTGGCTCTGTCATGTAGGAGTGTATGCTGTGGCAGACAGTAGCCAATGTGACAAGGTGCAGAGAGAATTCACAACTGCTTGCACTGACTGAGCAGATCTTTGGCAGCAGGCCTTCAGTGGGACAGGATTTTACTAAGTTCAGTCATACTGTTTTTGAAATGTATGTAAACACAGTTCTCTTTAAAAGGGATGCTGGTTCTGTCATTCAGTCCATTAATCTTGTTTGTTTTTCTTTCCTGCAGCCCCAGGCTATCCAAACTCCCAGGCTGGGTCTTAAAAGACGGAAGCACTTTCCTAGACAAGGTAATGTACAGATGCGATCATCGGGTCTCTCGAGGAACCTAGCCAATTAGCCAGCCAAATGGAGCCCAGCATTATTTAACTAAAGAAATAAACGAGATTCCCATCATAAAAAAAAATCCCTCATTGAATTTTCAGGTCAAGTTGCTTGAATCGGGGATATCAAAAAAAGAGAGAGAGGAAATTGCAAAATGCCTTCTCGATCACATTTGCAGCTTTGTCAATGAACCTTGAAGCAACTTCTTGTTGCAGATGGTAATAGCCTGCATGTTCACAAAACTTCTTATTTTACTAATCTCCAGTGACAGGCAGCAGAATAGACTGCTCCTTGCAGTCAAACAAAGCTGAGTTCTTGAGGTGGTATATCCTAGGAGCCACTTGCATTATACTTCATTTTTTCACAACTCTACACAGCAATATAAGCTGTGCACCCTGCACCCCCCATGTCCTTGTTTGTGATCTGTGGTCACAGGTGGGATATGTTGAATGCACAGCAGCAGTGATGCTGGATAACAGCAGCACGATGGAGAAACGTAAGACAGAATCACAGCAGCCGTACAGTGGAAGGCACAGCAGTGGCACATGCGCATGGTGGTGCCTCGGTGCCCCTTTTCAGAGGCCAAGAAAAGGTCAGGGTATCACCCAGCCAGTTGTCTTTGCCCAGCAGCACAGGCACCATTAATGTATCACCAACCACAAGTGCCTTCTGTCCTTGCAAATCTCTAAAATGGAAGGACTCATTACCTCTGGACCACTAAGGCCAGTGCAGTCCCCTGTTGTGTCTTGAATTTGTCACAACAGGAGCAGCAAATTTGGTTTGTGGTATATAAAGAAGAAATGTGCACGTGCATAAACACAAGCTGCCAAATATATCAAAGGATGGCTGTTGTGGAGGTGTGCCCACTCTGAACACGCTGACCAGGTGTACTCTTAAACTCAGAGGTCACCTTGGCGAAATAGAATTTTTGGCCTACAAAACTTCCAGCAGAAGCTCGGAGGCTTCCATCTCTTCACATGTGGCTAAAAGGTAAAACGGGAAGAGAATGGCGTCTCCTTCTCAGAACAAAGAACAGGAGGAGAAGCCAATATGCTAAATACTCAATTGACACCTTGGTTTCCAATCAGACTAGCAAATTAGCTCCAACGTTCCCGGGCATTCTATTGTCTAAACAGATTGCTTACAAACAAACATGTGACTTAACAAACATCATTAACCCTGTAAATACTGAAGTGTTTTGACTTGTAACACCCAACACACTGTCTATATGGAGCATATCAAAGCTCAAACGCATCATGTGCCCTTGATGATCTGACCTGATGCACAGTGGTTGCTTCCCAGAGAGCATCTCTAGTGGATCACAAGGGCAGTGGGAGAAAGCAGTCCTTCGGCCACCTTTAGAAAGCAACAAGTGACTTCTCTGGCCGCCAGCCCCAGCAGTTCTACCTGGAAACCCTGATCTTTCTTGCCTGCCATATCTTTATCTGTTGTGAAGATATTTGCCCAAGCAGCACTAAACTCTGGGGAGTCTTCCATGCTCTGCTTTCACTGAAACAGCAGGACTAACAGCCAGACCAATCACATATGTAGACACAAATGCAGACACGTGCTCCCTCCATCTCCCTACCAAGCAGGTGACGGAGACTAGGGAGGGTTCAGTAGCCAAGGCCGTGAGGCTGTGTGCATACATTCAACGTTCACCCTTTGAAAAGGGAGAGGTGCCAATTGACAAAAAGCCATGTGTTGGACAGATACACATCACTGTCCACGGCTCACTGTTGAGTGCTCACTCGTTCAGAGGTGGTTTGCCGTTGCCCTCCTCCTTGGTGGTCTCCCATCCAAATATTGACCAAGGCTGACCCTGCTTCGCTTCTCAGATCTGACAAGATTGGGCTAACCTGGGCTATGCAGTTCAGGGTGAAAGTGCTCCTAGTGAGGCTGAAACGCTGGGTTTCTTTAACTCTTGATATGAAGCAGCTCATAGGAATTTGGACCCCCTTTTTGTAACGAAGAGCATCTTTCAGATGCCTCCTGAAGCCAGAATACAGACGTGACCCTTGTGTTCAGCTGCTTTCACTTCCTCAGAAAAGTCTGAAGGGTGATTGGCGCAAGGGAAATGGGCACACTGCAGAGATTGGATACTGTCTCTCTGTGTTAATCTTTCTGAACATCAGCAGGAGGAGTAGAACCGTAGCTGGCAAAACATGGGTGTGGATAATATTCGAAGCCTCACTCTACTGCACTGACTGTTGAGTCCATTATGAGTCCAGCTGCACTCTGTCTAGGCCCCACATTGTTGACAGCTGTACCTGCTTAGAATGACAAATGAGCAGACCAGTGTCACACAAAGACTAGGTCTAGGGTCAGAGGTGGATGCTTTGTCATGTAAGAAGACCAGGTCCTGCCGTGCTGCCTTTGGATACACTCCTTTTAAGTCGGAGGGAGACATTGAAATTTACCCAGCTCACCCGTAATTCACCTTTTAACTTCTTCTGATGAGGTTAAGAGTCTTTTGCCATTAGATGTAATTGCTCATTTGTTACAACTTGGCAAATTTGCTAGAATTAATGAAAGATTGGATTCACCCCAGTGTCAGGCTTCTACCGGGTACAGCCAAGAGGGAGAGAAGAGCCCAGACTTTAGCTGGAGAACTTTGGAGAGAGCCCACTCTCATGTGTCCTTTCCCATAGGATCTGTGTCGGGGGGGGGGGGGAGTCCAGCATCCCCCCCCCCAGCACTTTAGGGAAAGCATCAGGGTCTTTGCGATATCAGCAGCCACTGCTCCAGTCCCCTCTCTCAACTTGGGTCTGTTTGCATGTTCAGCAACCAACTCACCAGGCACAAAGGAAAGGGGTAAAATTAAGAAAAACCATGAAAGTGAACTCTAGTTGCTGTGGGCCGCATCTAGTTTAAGAACTAATCTGCAATTCTCTCTTAGCATGCAGGCTTGCTCGTGACATTAAAATGCACAGTGTGTTGTCTTCCTTTTTGCTTTTAATTTTGCTTTTCCTTGTCTGATTACCATTGCATTTTTTCTCTCTCTCACCATTTCTCCCCCCCACACACACACTTTTCAGGAGCTGAAGGACTGTTCAGGTCACGTATTTGTGGATTCCGTTCCTGAGTTTTGTTTGCCAGAGGTGAGTTTTCCTGAGTGGCAAGTTACTGAATGTTTATAACAGTGACTTTGATTTAGCAACTGTTGGGAACCCTCAGTGTTTGGGTGAAGGCATAATGGGCCTCCAGTTGTAGGGAGTCCTGGACTATCTGTCTCGCTTGAGAGAAAATTAACATTTCACAGGAGGATACTACGGTACTTATTGAAATAATACTGTTGTTACAAGACTTTCCGATCCATTTCTCAAACCACTTACGGTTCCCATTTCAATTTAAGGGAAAGCAGAACTGCAAACATCTAGCGTTTTTTAAGCCATTTATTTCATTTCAAGCCTCATAAGAGAGAAATGGCAGGTTATGGATAAGATTATGCCAGGAAAGAACGTTACTTGACATTTGCATAGCAACTTTTTATTTATTTATTTATTCGGTTTTTATATCTGCATGCTGTGCTCTTAATAAAAATATTTCCAAGCCAGTTTCCAGCATCAAAAATTTTTTTTTTGCAGGAAGCAGTGAGATGGATCCTATGAATTTCTGCCACTTGGCAGCAGAGCCTTCCACCGGAGCAAGGAGGCTTTGTGCTCCTTGTACCGGTGACAGGCTCCACACTCAGAGGAAGGGATTAATAGAATCCATCCCATTGAAAGTAATGATAAAATCAAATTTGGTACAACACTGACACAGGACTAAAAATTAAAAACCAGCAGCAGTAATAAATAATTGAAGTACTTATCTAAAATAAATTTAATTAGCAGCAGTAATAGAGCAGAACGAACAAAGAAAGCAGAAGTCATTGCAGGAAGTGTTGCAGCAATTCCGCCGTCCCAAGTGAGACAGTTAACACTCCCAAATTGCCGAGGTGAACAGAAAGGGTCCTAACTTGGGTGCCAACAGGTCATGAGGTTCAGTGCCAGGCAGAGAGGGCCTTCTATGATGGAGGTGCCACAATTGAGAGTGCCCCCATGTCCCTTTCGACTTTCTGTGATAGAGCCTTTGGGCATGTCCTCTACCGCAGCCTTGTAAGGCAAGGCAGTGTCTCTATTTACTGTGTTTACAATCCACCATCTGTTAACCTGGGTCTTTAGGTCAACCTCTTAGCTGCGAGAGAGATCTTTTATTTTTGCTATTAGAGAACAGACCTTGCTTCCAGAAAAGGAGAAAACCAGACACATTCAAAGTTTGCAACATTTATTTAAACATGATTTCTAATAAAGGCCTGTTTCACAATCATCTTTAGAGGTTTTACAGAAAATGCATGGTACATAACTCTCTAACTTTACTAAATGGTGTAGCATGGTAGCTTGACAGCAACATCTTACCAATCTTGATATGGAACGTGGAGAAAGAGAGAGAGTCGCCTCTTAGTTCCCTGTAAAAACAGAAAGGTGAGGCAAGG